ACCACATCGAATTTTGCACCAGAAATTGTTATTTGAAATTGATCCTGCAACAAATTGTTCTGCAAATCCTTGCTCAAAATCTTTTCAAAAAGAAAAAGAAGGATTGAACAAATTCCCTTAGTTAAGTTTTTCTTTTTTTTCAAAAAAGCAATATTTTTTTTTCAAAAAAGCAACAATTTTTTTTCAAAAAAGCAACATTTTTTTTTTCTTTAGAGAAAAGATTGAAATATTTTCTTTATTAAGTTTTCTTAGTTAAGTCTCCCTTAATTAAAATCTTTCCTTTAATTAACTGAATTTGAAAAATTTTCCTTTCTTCAGCCTCCCTGCCTTCCAGATTTCTCCCCGGCAACAAAAGGAAATCGGAAGCTCTTCCTTTTTCTGGTTCGCCTCCAAAGCAAACTTTACTTTTCTGGCATCCCGACTTCGCCTGCTGCAGAAGGAAGCCTCGTCGAACTCATGCTGCGTCACTGAACTTGTCTTCCCTGAACCGCCCGTTGTCGCTGAAGCCGCTGACCAAACTCCTCGCAGAGGGCCTGTCACGAACCTCCAATCCCAGTCGCCTTCGTAGAACCGATCGTGGAAGAGGCTAAAAGCTCTCATCTTCCTTCGCACGTTGAATGGTCGAAGCTCCTTGAAAACTCACACCTTATGTTTGATCTTTTCATGACTTACAAACATAAGTCATGCATGAATTTGAAGGTGGAATGATTAAAACTCGCACATTTGGCTTTGGGCACTACAGGCTCAGGGCTTGTTTGGGATCAATTTTGTTTTTAAAAATATATTTGCCTTTATTTCATTTTCATATATATATATATATATATATATATTGTTAGGTATGTCTCATATACCATAAAAGGGTGAGATGCTAGAGTGGAGCGGAGCCCACGAGCGGAGTGGAGCAGAAAGATTTGTCCAATCGGGGGAGATTCATTATGTGGGTTGGGGGTGCGGGGGCAACACCCCGCGGTTTGGTACAGGGGTAATTTAAGTAGTTACATATTGTACAATATGATTATATATATGTCATGTTTGTAACCCTATGTGAGTCTCTAGGTCTTTGAGATTCTGAATCTAGTATTATACACTCTTCTTTGAATATTAAAAAGGAAGTCCTTGCTCTGCTCCCCAGGATGTACGCATCTTTGCTGAACCTCGTAAATCTCTATGTGTTCTTCTAGATTGTGTCGATTCATAGTTTTTCTTTGCCCTAATTTCTTAACAAGTGATATGAAGGCCTGGTTCGAGGGCAGGGAAGAAAAATTTCAGCACAAGCACAAGAAGAAGAAAATTTGGCGGTGTATCGCAACCAAGCAGCGATCGGGCGAAGCAAATTGCGAAACAGATCGTGTGCGGGTGAAGTAGCTTCGCGGAGGAGGTTCGCGCACACGAAGATTTGCAAATCGGAGAGGCTTTTTGCGGTTCGTGGCAGATTGGAGCAGGTTGCGAATCGTCAGGGAGGGATTCACGATTAGTGAGGGCCCGCGACAAGCGCTCCAGATTCATGACAGAGGAGTGCAGAGGAGTTCGAAGGATTCAACGATTCGTGCAAACAGACGAAGAGGAGGTCGCGACAGGCAGTACTTCGACGAATTTGGCGGCTTGCGAGCAGGCTTCGACATATAGAAAAAGTAAGGTTCGACGTCAGCCTGGAGCGGAGGCAAAAATTGGAAGCTCCGATTTCATTCCTTTGCTGGAGGCGAAAGAAAATTTTAAGAAAATCAAGTTCCGATTTTATTGCAGAGAAAAAATTTGGAAGAGAAATCAAGTTCTGATTTTATTTCTTTGCGGGGGGGCGGAGAAAAAAATGGAAGGAAATAAGTTCTGATTTTATTCCTTTGCTGCGGAGAAGAAATTTGGAAGGGATATTTTCCAGATTTCTCTAAAGGTAATAAAAGAATTTTCCTCGTATTAAATAAGAAAATGTTGTTGCACGCAGAGATTTTTCAGGACGCAGAAAATGCAAGGAAGGAGAATTTACTGCTGCACTTGGGAAAGAAAATATTTCTTTCTGGAAGGAAAGCGGAGGCAGAGCTTTTCTAGAAGGAAAGCAGAGCGAAGCTTTTATGAGAAGTAAAGTGGAGCTTTTCTGGAAGAAAAAAAAAAGCTTTTCTGGAAAGCGGGGGCGGAGCTTTTCGGGAAGGAAATTGGAGCTTTTCTTGGAAGTTAAGGAAAAGGATTTGTGGGAAAGTTTAATTAAGAAAAATTTAATTTAGGGAAAGTTCTTTTTTTCTTGAAAACTTAATTAAGGGAAACTTAATTAAAAAATCTTAATTAAGGGATTATTTAAAATTATGGCCCAACCCACATTGGTTCATACAAAAACTCCATGATATATTTCTCCTAAAGGGCTTGATATTCGTGAAGGTGGAGATTTGTTAGATATGACTCATAATATCAGAATTTGGAATCACTTGGAATGAAAAGATGTCTCTTGGAATTGAACATGAGTGTCTCTTGGAATTTAGTGGGTTGGGGGGAACAAGGGCGCAGCAGAAGCGTGGTGGTCCAACCCACACTGGTGCATAAGAAACTCCCTGATGTATTTTCACCAAAGGGCTGAATATTCGCCAAGGTGGAGATTTTCTTAGCACATGTATTTCTCTTAAGGGGCTGGATATTCGCTAAGGTGGAGATTTGTTAGGCATATGTATTTCTCCTAAAGGGTTGGATATTGGGTATATGTATTTCTTTTAAGAGGTTAATTAAATTAAGATAATGACATTTTGTTAGGTATGACTCATATACCATAAATGGGTCAGATGCTGGAGCGGAGCGGAGCCCAAGAGCGGAGTGAAGTGGAAGAATCTGTTCAATCGGGGGAGTTTCATTATGTGAGTTGGGGGTGTGGGGGCAATACATTGCGGTTTGGTACAGAAGTAATTTAAGTAATTACATATTGTACAATAGGGGTACATATATGTCATGTTTGTAACTCTATGTGAGTCTTTGAGGCTCTGAGATTCTGAATCTTGTATTTTGTACTCTTTTTCTAAATATTGAAAAGAAAGTCGTTCTGCTCCCGATGATGTAGGCATCTTTGCCGAACCTCGTAAATCTCTGCGTGTTCTTCTGGATTTGTGTCATTTCCTATTTTTCTTTGCCCTAATTTCTATATATATATATATATATATTTGTTTTTAAAAACAAATTAGCATGTTTTTGAAAACACTCACAACAACATTTAGGTGTTTTGAGTATTTTAAAAAACAATAATATCTTAACAAAACACAGGAAGCATGTTTTATTTCAAATCAAAACATAAACAAAAAAACATAAAAATAAAAATATTAATGATCCCAAAGCGCCTCTTAGGTTATATATGTATATCACTTCAAATTTAAGAATAAAATACTTATTTAAAATCCATTCTTATGCATGCTAAAAAATTTGCGGCGGTAGAGTAACAAATTATCGTCCTAGCGTTGTACGAAAGTTCAGCACACACACAGATGAAATAGAAAAAAAATGGTGATTACTCCAGAAGTTTTTACGTGGAAAACCGTAAGGGAAAAACCACGAGGTCTGGCCTAGTTGCGGAAATCCACTGTTGATTGATGATTACAGAAATCTCTTGTCCCACAGACAAGAAAGGGTAATTATATTTTTCAAGGTACAATGTTGACTGACGGTGTCTGGTTGGTGCTGATCGATGACGGTTAGTGAAGGTTGACAACGATCGGCGGTAGTGGATGACAGTCAACGGTGATCAACGACGGTCGGTGGTGGTCATCTGAGGTCGGCGGTGGTCGTCGACGAGCGACGGCGATCGATGACGAAGGCTGGCGTTGGCGACGACAGAGATCGGCTGCGGTCGATGACGATTGGTGGTGATGCTGAGCTGCAGCTTCTCCTCAAGACCTCAGGCTCTCTCTAGATTTCCTTCCCTTCATGAAAGGGATGAGATTCTATTTATAGTGTTCTGGATGCAATTAATGTAGGAATATAAACCATTTTGATCGGATAGTCCGGAGAACTTCGCTCAATCATACGTAGCTTAATGAACATTTGAGTGCCTTAATGATGTCAGAATTGAGTGATCTTGGACTCGTTGGATTCATCTTGTTGAGCCGCTCAATTTGAGTATAAACTTGTCATATTTAACGGTCGTTTAACTTTTCAAATATATTCATAAATCTTTTAATTGTGGTTTAATGACTTGATCTGGGCTTGATTTGACTTGTATTTGGCTAGTTTTCATATCATTAGATTCATTTCATCGAACTGGTCAGTTTGGCTATAAGTTTGTTGAAATCGGAGCTCTGGGTGACTTTTTATCAAGATTTGAATGCTTCTTTCTTAAAATATCATCTCGAGATTCGTGTCATGCCTCGAGATTTGTGTTGGATGATGAAATTTTGTTGGTGGTGTATCACATCCAAATATTGAAACTTTCTTAGCTATAAATTTAAATTTTTGGGATAATTACACGATTCACACCTACAATTTGACCATGTGTACATGTGGGACAACGAATTTCACTTTTATACTTTTTTCAATTAATTTTTTTATTATGAAAAATTTTATAAATTTATTTTTAAAATTAGTCTTTTTTTTAGTTTTCTTTTGTTTTATTAAACTCAAATTTGTTTTTTAAGAAAATTAATTTTTAAATTTAATTCTTATTCTAAAAGCACATTTATTTTCTTTTAATATAAAGTTAATAATTTTAACTAAACAAATTACTTAAAATATATAGATTTATTTATGTGTTTGCAAACAAATTTTTTTAATTTTAACAAAACAAAACATATAATTCTTTTATTTATTTGTGTTTTTCTAATAGTAAATAAATAAAAATATAAATAAAATCTAATTTGAATTTAATAAAATATATATGTATATATAATTAAAATTTTTGTTAATAGATATGTAAATAGATAGAAATTAAGTGATATGTATGTAAATATTTTTATTTTTTTATTTATAAATTAAAATATAGTATAATATTTTAACTTTCTTTTGGCAACAAGTGTCGATGCTACTTCATGGCCCCTATAATATTATTTACCCCGGAAGTGCGTTTTGTGATCCTCCACCCAAATTCGACTTCCCACCTTCCTTCCTAGCTGCCCATGGATCGCTCCTCCGCCGTCCTCCGACAGCGCAACACTGCGGAGGCGACTGACATTACAGATCCCACAGCAACTCCGCCCCCTAAAGTGCCGCGTCCCCCGAGGAAGCGCAAAGGGTTCGCAGTTTCCAAGACTAGGAAGCCGTCGAAGGCCCCGTCTTCGTTCTCATCGATTGCTTCATCCACTGCAGACCAGCCGCCAGGAGGACAAAAAAGGAACCTTAATGTTATGCTCGATGAGGATTTCCAGGACCTTGCCCTTCCTTTGGGCACGTCCTTCGCCGCCGTTCTTTCCCAGGTTTATCTCTAATCTTTTAGGCTTTGTAATGTTTTCCTTGTTTGAAGATTGATAAAAACTCCTGTTTGATTAAATGCAATTACTTGGTAGGTGAAAGATGAGGTAATACGATTGAAACAGTTTGGTATAAACTTCGACAACTTAATTTGGCGGTATAAATCAATTGGTTGAATGAGATTTGAATGAGATTTGTTTTTTTTTTTTACCCTGACGCTGTGTTCTATCTTTATTACATCTCTTAGTAAATATTTGGAGTATTAGTTAGGGGGCTGGCATTCCAATTAGACAATTAAATTGCAATCATTTGGTATATCCATCCATCCATAGCACCCAACTTCCTAATCTGTGGGTCTGCGCATATAAAAATTATAGAAAAAAGGTTGTTTTTTGTACTATTCTTCACTTTCATCCTATATTTAGAATGGGTATTATTCTACAAAATGAAATCTTGGATCTTGACATTTTTGTACTGGCCGCCCTTTAGGTTAAACTATAATTTGATGCTTCATTTGTTGTATGCCACATATGTTTGCTCCTGCCATCGAAGTTAAGATGATCTCAGATTAGCATTATAGAAACAGTGCATTGGGACTTGTTTCCTTTTTATATTTACTAAGCCTATTATCACTGGCATGATGCTGCATCAATTTTATGCTGTATTTTTATAATTGTCCTTGTTATGTTAGTGTTCTTTCCTTTCGTTTTTCCAGTTTTAGTTTTGATAATAAGATTTTGTTTGTTAGTGTTTTGTTGATTTGCTATGCTATTTAGCATGGAAAAGCATTGCTATTCTTAGCACTATGGATGAGCTACTCTTAAAATATGTTGTTATGCAGCAAATTGTTGAACGTTTCTTGCAAAAATCAAAATTATGATATGCATCTTTTTTAACCCCAGACAACTGGAAAGAGCTGTCATCATGCAATAGGGGTCGTTCACTTGAGAAATTAAGAGGAAATCATTTAATTTAGTCAAATACAGTATTATGTTGTTATGCAGCATATTGTTGAACGTTTCCTGCAGAAATCAAAATTATGATATGCATTTTTTTTAACCCCAGACAACTGGAAAGAGTTGTCATCATGCAATAGTCTATTTGGCCGTTCACTTAAGAAATTAAAAGAAAATCATTTAATTTAGTCAAATACAGTATATATTGTCTCCTTTAAATTATTTTCGCTTTATTTTTTATCCAAAAGTTAGTTATTTCTTGATCATCCCTAGCAAGTTCCAGTGCAATGCACAGGTATTATTTATAATGGAAACTAAAGATGAAAGAAACGGTTATTGGTCGTACGGACTTTTAACATCTATGGGTTCAATAGAGAATAAAATCTCTAATCTTTTTCTTTTAATTTAAGTGTTAATTCTTTTCGTTGAAAATAACAGCACAATTGAACATGTGATCATTTGCTTAGCTACAAACACATTTATTTATATTCATGTAATATTTTTTGTTCTAAAAAATTATATCTACTGCTTACAGTATACTCAAGCATCATTAAAAATGTAAGGTTTCATGTTAGTCCAACCTATGCTAAGTTTGGTTTTGTCAAATTTACTCTAATTTGCATAATGACTCCCCTTTTTTGATCCAATACCTTAACTTGGTTGGAGATCATGCTTGGTTTGTGATGATGCTTCCCAAGGTTAAAGTCCTCAATTCTAGTTATAGGTAATGAAGGAAGTCATCTTGTTGGTATGGTAAATATGCCTTTGAATAGGTGAACCACGAAGAACCTTCATTGCTTTGAAGAGGAAGTTTGAGAAAACTTAAGCTAGGAGTTGAGAATGGTTTTTGAGGTATTAATATTTTAGAAAGTATTTGTTTGCCTATTCTGGCAACAGGGGAGAGTTCATTGGTAGTGTTGAAGGAAAAGTTCAATTGCTTGCCTCCACAGGTCAACAATTTTTCTTTGGCCAAGAAACCAAAATTCAATTATCACATGTTTAATATGATTTACCTTTCGGATGACTTGGCAACCATCAGAACATATATTAGGCCAATTTATTTTCTCATACATTGCTTAGAGAATTATCTTTTTTTTTTTTTTTTCATATCCACGAAAGCAAACCTATAAGCTTGGTCGTCTTTGGAAATGTATTTTGATATTCACTAGATTATGAATTATTATTTCATTGCTAATCTTTTCATAGCCTGAATTCACATTCCATCACTGCTATACCATGTCAATCATTTATATTATTTTGCATAACATCATGTCGCAAAGTGAAGGTTCATGATATGGGTATAATTAGATATGGAACAAATCATATAGTGTCATTTAAATCATCATATACATGTATCATAACATCATGTAGGATCATCGTGTCATGTATAGTATCACTTTCGCACATATAATGTGATGCATGAATTAAATCATCTTTATGACAGTCAACTTAAAAAATCATCATGATTTATGCTATATCGCATGTTGCATGTATGACGTATAACATATTTTCCAAATGAACTATCTTAGTTCCTCGCTATCATTCAAATGAAGTCACATGGAAATAGAGAAATGGAACAGAATCATGCTCCACACATACAGGAATCGATAAAACATTGTAGGACCATATAAACTTCAATATGAAACTTCATAGAAACATGAAATCATCAAGATGAAGAGATTCAACTGTTGATAGACTTTTTCATTTGATTAGATTCATCATTTATTTTGTGAAAATACTCTTTTCTAAGACGGGGAAAGCATCCTGCACAATAGAATGAAAAGCCCCAAATCAAAACTCTTCCAATATCTTTCCAATGCTTTTGAGTCTTCTTCTCCCTCCTCTTCTCTCATTTTTCCTGCAATCCAAATGAGAATGACAAAGAGCTAAATAAGCTAAATAAATGCTTATCCTTACCTTTTTTCTACAAGCTTCTAGAAGGGGATAGCCAGCACCATGCGAAACATCTATTTTAATTTTTTAAGGTTTTAATCCCTTATATAAACTTTGGAACAAAAGCCCAATTAGTGCTTGGTGATCACCATTAAATATTTAAGTGGAAAATATATTTTTAATTTTATTCAATAGTGTCATTAAATTTTCCTAAATTCAAGTTAATTGAGTACTTCTCAACATTTTGGCCATAACCAGCTTTTTTTCTCTTCGGAATTGTAAAATTTTTTATTCTTGAGAATTTAACTGAGTTCGTCATTACTATTTTGTTAATTGCTTTATTTAATTTAAGTTTCAAAGGCTAGCAAAAATATTAAAATTGAGATCCATAGTTTTGATCCATGCTCAAAATGGACTGCTTCTCCCTAATCATGATATTCAATGCCACTTATGAACTCTTTAATGCAAATATGAATCTAAAATATATGCGTATGAAATATATTAAAATTAAATTTTGAGTTGGCACATATCATGCTTCTTATGTAATTTTTTTTTTTGGTTTATCCATAAAATTTTGTCCCACTTTAATCTTAGATTTGTCCTTTCTGCCGCATTAATTGTATTATTAGTAATTACTTTGTAGACAGACACTTGGGTTCATATAGTATGATGGATTTAATTGGATTCATTTTGGATTTAATTATAGTATGATGGATTTAATTATTGGGTTCATATAGTATTTTTAAGTTTTCATGTGCTTTCCTGTTCCATAACTGAGACACTTCATTATTTTTTGCCTTCAACTCACTCTTGTTATTATGTTCCCATCAATGCCTTAATTGTTTTTGAGTGAGCATGCATGTGCGTGTGAAACTAAAATTTAATTTAGCTTAAGATAAAATTTACTAAGAATATTATCAACTTCACACCCAATAAAATTACTTATCATTTATTTGATCTATTTTCTTCTAATCATTGGCTTGAGTTTTTCCAAACCAGGCTCACCTGTGACTGGAGTTCATTCGATCTCATCTTTGGTCAAACCATGTTTTGTTATAATCTGGCCTAATTTAGTCTCGATTTCAGCCTAGGATAGCTTGTTAATTTCGATTTGAGTTTGACTTGAGCCCAAAATTGATTGGATGTTAATTAATTTATCTCTTTTAAGGTAAATTTTTAATCCAACATGCACATTCAATCAAAATTTAATACATACCAAACAATAGATTTGTCCACACTTGGTAGCACGTGCAGCCATGGCTGCTGGCAGTGGAGCCGGCAAGTTAGTAGGATCGCCAATTCGCTTCAACTCTTTGTGCGGGAAGTCAACGGAGTGTTGTAGCTGAGTAAAGAGGAAGTTTTTATTGTTTAAACCCTTTGCTTGTGATAATACTTTGTTGTGAGTGATTAGTAGTCATCTTTACTGTTGTTCTCGGATGAGCAAGTACAAAGTATTTCAATTCCAACAAAACATTTTTACAAATCATGTTATTTTCTCTGTCATAGGATATTTGTTAAATATTCTTTATAGATTTTTCTTTTCTGGATTTCTTACTCCTTTTTCCTCTTTTCTACTTCAGGTTTTGTGTGGCAAAGTTGCCTCTAGGGATTTGTTACCGGCAGATAAACTCTCCATGGTAGAATATTTTCAAATGTGTACCTTAAACATGGATGAATTTGGTACTTGGAGCTTCTTATGATTTAACATCAACTTCTCTACTGGATGCAGATCTGTACTTCAGCTGTAAAGGAGTCCGTGTCTAATGCAAGCCTACCTAACTTTGACTAATTTAAGCTCTTTTATTAATAAGATGGAGACACATGATAGTGCTACTTGGATTTTTTGTTTTTTCTTCTTTTGATTTGCTTCTCTTCTGCAGATTCATGGCGATAGGTTTGATTCATTTATGAATAACTTTGAGAAATCATTCGACAGCACATTGAAGACATTGCTGCTGCTCCACAAGGCTTCTAGTTCCAGTAAAAAAAATAGATTGAGAGAAAAGAGACGACTTAATGTAGAAGGAGATAAATTGATCAAAGAATCATATAATAATGATGAAGAATTGGGAGAAGATGAAGCACAGAGCTCAACAAACCAACTTGCTCTTCACATAGAATCAAATCATGAGCTGGTTCGATCTTCTCATAATTTGATTGCTCCTACTTTTAGTCAATCAATGCTGACCACCTTTACAAAATCCGTTACGGAACAAACTCGATGCAATGATTTAAAGGAAGTGGAGATAGGTTTGACTATGAGAAAGTTACAAATGAAGCAGTCTCAGTTAGCCATGAGTTCTTATGCAAATTGGTTAGAGAAGGTAAAAATATGTATGAATGTGTCTAAAGCCGCTTTCAAAGAAGAAAAACTAAGGAATCAGATCGAGGATTTAAGGCATGCAGAACTCGTAAGAAGGTGCATAGATCTGCTTGTCAGCGGCTTGATTCTTATGTGTGCTTTCCTGGTTTATGGAGCTTCAATCTTTTCATACCAGCTGATTACCGAAGCAACGTCGTCCTGCACTGCGATGTCCAGAGTAAGGGTCTATTTGATATAAGATTTAGTTGTGGCATCTGTTTTTCATTGAGTTTAGAAATTTTTGGGCATTGTACTACTGTGATAAAAAATTGAATTTTATCGGTGGTTTTAAAAAAAAAGACCGGTTGGCCCACATTCAACTTTGAACTTGCTCTTTGGCCGGTTTGGTCTAGATTGAACCGGCGAACCGATTCAATATTTTATGAACAGGTGCTCTAATATTGATCAATGTTAGGTTGTTTTATTTTGATTGGATTGCTAAATATAAATGATTTAGATTAAAAATAGAGTAAATATTTAAAATAACATATCCTGAAGCATTGATTTAGAATTATGTTCAAAATATTTAAGAGTGAAGTATCCCTTGTTAAAAAAAAATTGTGTATTGAATTAATGAAAATATCTAACACCTAAAATTTGTTTTTCACATTTTTACGACCCAAATCTTTCATATCACACAAAAAAGACCACCAGTTTAACTTCCAGAAAGTAAAATATATGTTTTTAGGCATAGATAAGATGACAGTTATATACGGATAAGTTTGAAGTTTAGATGTTAAATATATAAATACATTTGAATCAAGTGGCATGACTGTAAATTTTCTTTTATTTTTTTTTAATTTAATAAAAAAAATATTTATCTTTCTATTTATTTAATTTCAGGGATCCAAGTCCTGGTGGATGCCTAAACAAATTACATCCGTCAGCTCAGGCTGGCAAATGCTAAGATGCCATGCTATGGTTATAACCAGAATGCTTTTTGGTTTGCTGATGATTCTGGTTATCGCCTACTCGCTCCTCCAACGATCTGCCGCGTCGACAATGCCAATCACTTCCATTCTCTTGCTGTTAGGATTCGCGTGCGGCATTGCCGGGAAGCTCTGTGTGGACTCACTAGGAGGAAGTGGGTATCGCTGGGTTATTTATTGGGAGCTTCTATGCTCACTTCATCTCTTCGCTAACATCTTTCCGTCGATCCTCTACCGTCTCCTATACGGCCATGTTTTAGCAGCACAGAGCGAAACGCCAGTTTGGTGGCTGTATCGGATTAGGCGATACACATTCTATGTGACGCTGCTGTTGGTTCTTCCAACAATGGCTGGTTTGTTACCCTTTGGATCTATGTTGGAGTGGAAAGATCATTTCAGTGAGAAGGTGAGGATTTTGGTTATGAAGGCTGAGCAGAATGGATGAGGGAAGAGTTTGCCGGTTTTTTAGCTATGTTTTGACGTATTCCGGCTGATTTGTGGGTGTTTTGACCACCGGAACTCGGCCGACTCATGAAGTCGAGGTGATTAGACTGATTCAGGAAAAGAATTTTTTTTTTTTTTTTTAAATCCAGCAAGCAAATGTTCTTCAAAACATTGGAGTGTAATTTGGGCTATTGTTGCAGTGGAAGCTTCAATGTTAGTGTGAAATATTTATTTGTTTTAATCATAGTGTAGCTCGCTTGTAAACATTTTGTGTAACTTTAAGGCTTGCTCAAGTTTATTGAGGCTGATTTTATTAGTCATTTCTATGCATTATTTACGGTTTCATTTCATGCATCCCACACAAATCTTATGTTTTCAAATCTAACATCAAAACATTCATATTTTTCATGCATGACACTCGAATCTTTCATGACACTCAAATCTTTCATAACATCAAAAATACCATTTTTATTAACTTCTTCATTTATAGATTTATGACACCAATGTTATAAATGTAAATATCAAACTGTGTTTGATATGTAATACATAAGAATCTTCTCTCTCTCTCTCTCTCTCTCTATATATATATATATATATATATGTAAAAGGAGTTTCATTAGAACATGGTGCATTGTTTTGGTATAATAAATGAAAATGTTGAAATACTGCATATATTAATTGCTGAATACCTTATTTGGGAGTAAAATGGTATATTTCTAAATAAATTATTATAATTTTTGTGCCAACATATTTCTATATGCAATTACTTATTTATAGTGAAATGCGAATGAGAGGGAGAGAAATACAGCATGATATGAGTTGAAGGACGGAATCATATATAATAAAGGCTCATTTGGTTGTTTGAAGTTCTTAAATATATTTGCAAAAATGATAATTATATTTTCACTTATTTTAAGTATGACAATATAATTACCTTCTTTGAAATCAATATAATTCAAGGAGCAACGTGAGCTACGTTAAGTGCTTACTTTCATTGTGGTATACAAAGGTCAAGTTTTGCAAATGACCCGACAACAATTGAGAAAATATTAGATCAGGACTCCAGATGCATACAAAGTCCTATAGGTGAGCGACACGTGTAAAGTGGACCAAGCACAGTGTATTGTGATGGGTCCACTTTACACGTGACGTCTCCTTATTGGACTCCAAATGAACGGGGAGTCCTGACCTAATGTTTTCTCACAACAATTGGCTAAATTACATAACAACACCATAGCCATCATCTTAAATTATGAGCTCGTTGAACAATATTTGAGAAATTTACAAATTTCAGTATTTATTCTCCCCTTATTACAAATAATAAATTGAAATTATTTTGCATGTAGATTCACTCGTTTTCTATCTGAAATCATGCCTTGTCATTCATTGGTCAACTTTTTCTTCATCTTTTTTCACTGGAGAATCAGATAATTTATTTGCAATTATAATATCAAGGGGAAAATTTTTATACAAACACTATACTTAGAAGTTATGTAAATTGGGTGAATTCCACATTGAAAATGAACTTGAGAGAAAGATTCATTGAAGATATGTATTTTTTTAATAAATCATTAGAAAAAAAAGAAATAAAGAAATAAACGTATTGAAGGGCTCACCTTTAGCTAGCATTTAAGAAACGGACATCTGACCGTCCATTCGTCTCATATAATCCAAAGAGCTAAAGAAGAAACCATGAGCGCCACCATGAATAGAAAGCTGAAAGAACATCATCTTTCTTTGTAAAATGCAATAAGTTAAATGGTAGACTTAGAATTATTATATTTTTTTTCTGAATGGGCGCATAAATTATTTTTAATATTTAAAATGGTGTGTTTGTGTGTGGTATGTCACTACTAAAAAACAAAAAAAAAATATTACATCTGGATGAGTTGCATCTGAATTAGGTGTGTATGGTAATATATTAGGTGTTATTGGTAATATTGTGATGTTATTTTGATAAAATAATATCATAATACTATTAATAACACATTAAAAACTACAATCAATACATACGAAATCCAGATGCAATATTTCTTCCCAAAAAACCTCAATGATCATGCCCAACCCATCAATTTGTTTATTTATTTTATTTGAAATGGTTCATAAATAACACATTTGTGTTAGGCTCGATTTGAATTCGTATATTTATTTGTTTTAGTTCTTGTTCGATTCAAAATTAGCTCGAATGATTTAAAGATAATAAAAATTAATATAAAATATTATTTTAATTAATTATATAAGTGATTAATTAATTAATTAGAGTCAAAATTTTAATTTTATCAAGTTTTCATAACATTTATGGCCATTCAAATAGGGCTCTTAACAATCTGATTTTGAGTTGAGCTGGTCAGCTAAAAAATAACTTGATTCAATTTTTTTACTCGTTTATTTTGATTCAATCTCGATCAAGAGTCAAAATTCAAATCAATATTTAAGAAATTAATGATCTTCAAGTTAAATTCGCTAAATTCAAACGATTCGATTTAGATCAGAGCAGGAGTGGGCCCAAAATCAGCTTAAAAAATGTTGATCTGATTTTAATCCGATCAAAAATTCGAATCATTCTTCAAGTTAAATTCTCAGCGCTACATTCAAATATACAAAAAATAGGAGCAGGAACCATCACCAGCAACGCCATCCATAGGATCACCTTCCGCTTCTTCCCGCCGGTCGACGCGGCGCCGGTAATCTACTCTCGGCGGCGAGGAGTCCCTAAAAGCCGACAACCTCGTGAAAGGGTTCCATCTATCCGGCACCTCCCGCAGCCTCCGCCTTCTGCTCCCTCCTCTTCCGCCGCCGGAACGCTCCCTGCTCTGTTCTGCGGAGGCGTGCTCCTCGCCGGGAAGCTGAAACCTGCAAACAGGGCAAGAGTTATGCATTCGAAGCCACGGCACGATGCAGTCGGAGTGGTAAACGTGGCTGCAAGGCATCTCCCTCCCCTCTTCCCCGACAAAAAATTCCTCCTTGCAAACAGGGCACTCCGAGCCGCCGCGGAGATGTGCCGCCGTGATCTTCACCGTCGGCAAGGCATCAATGGAGTGATTTGATGCCGGCGGAGGACCGGTGCGGTCGTTCTCTGTGAGTTCCTGGACGAGCTCATTGAGATTCGGCCCGGTGAAGTAGTCTCCAAGGTCCATAGTGGGAGGAACAGAGTAACTAGGTGGCAGCAGAGTGAGAGGGTGGCGGCGATGGAGGGAGGGAAAGTTGAAATGAAAGTTTGCCGGAGAAGGCGGGGGCAGAAGCGGGGAGGGAATATGGAGGTCGTGGATGAAGGGGCTGAAGCAGCGAGGGCAGAAGATGTCGGGAGTAGCTGAGAGAGAGGGAAGGATGGCAACCGGGCGGCGGCATTGGTGACACCAGAAGAGGGGGAAGGTGCGGCGGAGGATGATCGGAGGGATGGGAGGAGAAGGGGGAGGCATTGGGTATCGGTTGTTGATGGAGATGGAGAGGAATAGGGGGAAGATGGATTTAATGGGAAGGCGTAGGAGAGGGAGATTTGGATGGAAAAGTATATCTTTTATCTAAGCGTGAAGGTGTCGTCTTCTTCAATGGACTGTTGCGGGGGGTTCAAACAATAACTTCCTTTTCCTCCCTCTAATTTGGGAGAAGTGAATGAAGGTTTTGAGAAGTTTTTATTACAGAAGTAGCGTATTTTTTAGGAAATTTACATGCATGCCAGCAATTCTTATTCATTTATATATCTAACATTCAAAATCTGTTATTTATTTGCGATCCAACCTAGTTAAGACGACAAAGTTGGGATCGTGGGTACGTGATGAGAAGTTGATTTGATCACGGCATATAGGAGACCGCTGTGCGCCTTAATATTGTGTTACAGTCATGATTTGAGTTAGCTGGGAAGCCAACGATGGGATCGCAGCTTCCAAAGTTTCGTGCGGTTTTCATTAGTACAATTGACCTTGCCTACAAAAATTTCAAAACTACTAATTTTAGGAGTTTTGAAACCGTCCGGGGAGTAATGAGGGCCAAAAAGGTAAATGAATTGAAAAAAATATTAGAGAAAGAGATAAACCACATTAAATCTAAAATAAACAAGTATTTCTTGTCCATAGAGGGAAGATTCAACTTGTCGGGTATAAGCCATCAGACAATTATTTCGTCTATCAAGCTCAAGAAGTCTATCCAATAAACTTCATCAAAGAAGACCCAACTCGCTTCAAGGTTGACTCAATTTAGAAATAAAACATCCCAAAAACTAAACGACTTGCAAGGATGTGATCCAAGACGAGACTCCCGACGATTGCGTCGGGAGCATAAGATAAAATAAGATGATGTCAGAGAATAGCATGTCAAAAATATTATCAAGTATATATCAATGTCAGAAGAAGATGAGTAAGAAATTTCTAGAGCTCTTTGTGGAATAATCATACTTATAATATATGAGAAAACCCCCTCTATAAATACGGGGAAAAATCTATGTCACAGGGGATGGACGATTGACCCCTCAACAATATCAAGATTCTTTCAAATCAAACACAAACAACTCCTCTCATTAGTATGTTCTTCTTTTCATTGTTGCTTTTTCCGTGAGAATTGAGTCCACATACAGATCTCGACATGCTTTCCTCATAGCTAAAAAGAAAATTATTACGTGCTGCTAATCGCAAATTTGGATGATGGTCCAGATGGGGCCACACCACTGTGTATCGTGGGGTGGCCCATCCAGTAGGAATTGTGTGGTATGCATGCAAATCTTCCTATACAAACGTAATACTATCTAATATTCTCCCCAGAAAAAATAGATGCCCCTTTTCTAGTCATAAATTGGCATCAAAATAAGCTATTGAATTCAAATTACAATCTGAACCTCTTCACTTGTTGCAACAACATCGTAAAAAACATCAAAAGATCAAGAATAATAATAGTCAAGCATTTACCCAAAGGATTAACCAAGAACCCTAGCTGATAACTTCCAATCCATGATTTATTTTCTCTTAAGCTTCTCCTTCATCCTCTCCACAGCTGCCTTCAAAGTACCTTCATCCTTGCAAAACGTAAACCTCACTAAGCTCTTCCCTTCCTCTGGATTGAGATAGAACACGCTTGTAGGGATGGCCACAACACCCACCTCCTTAATCAAATACTCACAGAAAGAAACATCATCTCCAAATCCAAAAGGAGTATGATCCACCACCACAAAATAAGTCCCACTTGATGGGTGCACAACAAACCCCACTTCCTTCAACCCATCCACCAGAATTGCCTTCTTCGCATCGTAATCCCTCCGGAGCTCCTCGTAATACGACTCCGGCGCTTGAAGTGCCGCCGATGCCGCCCACTGCATCGGAGTTGAAGTCGCAAAGGTCAAGAATGCATGAGCCTGCCTTAAACCCCATGTTAGGTGAGTCGGAGCTATGGCCCATCCAATCTTCCATCCGGTCAAGGAGAACGTTTTTCCCAGGGAGTTCATTGTGACAGTCCTCTCGCGCATGCCGGGAATCGAAGCGATGGAGATGTGCTCGGCCTCGAATGCCAGCTTATCATAGACCTCATCGGAGAAGACCAACACATCATTTTCAATGCAGAGGTTTGAGATGAATTCAAGCTCGTTCTTCGTGAGCATCTTGCCGGTGGGATTGTGGGGCGTGTTGATGAGTATTGCGCGAGTCTCTTTTGTTACTGCGGACTTGAGCTCATTGAGAGGAACGGCAAAGTCCGGTGGGCGGAGGGTGATGGACTTGATCTTGGCGCCAGCCATCGAGAGAGTTGCTTCGTAGGAATCATAGAATGGAGCAAAGAGAATAACTTCATCGTTGGGATTGATCAGGCCGAGGATGGCGGCGGCGATGGCTTCGGTGCAGCCAGATGTGACAGTGACTTCTTTTTCTGGATCGACTTCGAGGCCGCTGTCCTTCTTGAATCTTTCAGCAATAGCAGTGTTGAGAGCAGGGACTCCATAGCCCCTCGCATACTGATTCTTCCCTGCTATGATAGCTTGAATTGCGGCATCTTTGACGAAGTCTGGACCATCGAAGTTTGGGAATCCCTGGCCAAGGTTTATTGCCCCGTGTTTGATGGCGAGATTGCTCATCTGAGTAAAGATGGTTGTCTTGAATTTCTCCAGACGCTTTGCTACCTATAAAATTGAAGAGTTATAGTCGCAGTTCAAAATTCTCAAGTTTATTACATAACTGTGCTTTACATTTGTTTTGGATCAGTATAATAAAAACAAGAGTAGGATCAGAATGTTCTTGCATAAAAAAGGATGTTGAAGGAATTGTGACAAAAAAAGTAGGGAACGGATTGAGAATGATTATTTTGAAGGAATTGTAATTGCACCTACTAAAGTTATGCTGGTTTAAAAAAAAATTGGCTGATTCAGACAGATGCCGTATAGAGTAGTGCTGAATGATCAGAAATGACGATAATTTAGACAGATATCATTTAGAAGATGCATTGATAAAAGGAAATCAAATAAGTGATGAATGATCAGAAATGAAAATTGGTAAACTGAGGATAGCATGGATGAAATTTTGCAAAAAGATTTGCAAGAAAGAGTAAACAACTCTGTGGCATGCAATAGGAATGATAGCGAGATTAAAATTTATGAAGCCAGCCAAAAAATGTTATGATCATAATGATAGCAATGGTGATGGTGATGTGGACATTTCTCCAGATAAAAAGGCATATGATTTACTAATAACAAGGGAAATAAAAGAAATCCTAACCAACAAGTATGACTTACTTTCAATTCTAAAATTTTGTAAATCTTCTATGATTTTTCTAGTTTTCAAAACATTTGTTCTACCTAAACTTGTAATGTAAATATGTGTGAACCAAGAAAAAGTAAAGAGGCACCAATGATCCACATTAGACCAGTAAGCAAATCAATAACAAAAAGAAAACAAGGCGGGTCTACTTCACAGTGACAAAGACAAAGGTTCTGAAATGGAAGATCGACATTTATCTAACCCAAGGACAAAAAAAGTAAAAATAAAAAAAATAGCAGGAAATTGTTATTTAAGACATTGGATTTCTGACATTTGTTTTCTGCTTAATTGAATGGTAGACAACTATTGGCTCATATTTGTTCCTAAAATTTCAGGCACCCTTTGGCTCATATTTTTCCTGAAATTTGAGGAAACCACAGAAGAATTTCACATCAAGGCATTTTAAATGAGAAAGTTAACTTCAAAAGTTCACTTAGACCCAGTCAAGTTGACTTTGGCATATGATGACACATATTCTGTATGGTTTAATCATGCTGACTCGGATAACAAAAAACTGTGCTAAAATTTCGCCATCACATAAAGCTTAAGAAAATGAGCTCTTCCCTCAAAAAGTTCATATTCCATCTCAATCAATTTCGCCATACCATGCTGTACAGCGATTGAGGCATTTTTTTTTTCAAATTTTAATGATCCAGGTTTTAAATAAACTAAGATTTGTTATACTAGTACAAGTTAGAAACTTGGGATCAATACTTCAAAAGGTTTATCTTTTCATTTTAAACACGACAAGGAAAAAAGTTGTGATATCTGGCAATGCAAACAATATAAAGATAGTTAAGCATTTAAGATGCAATACACAAAATAATAAAAGCACCTTATTGGGACCATAAAAAAATTCTCATAGGAACAAGCACAATTTTTGGTGCAAAGCATGCATTTCAGTACATTTATATCAAATCAAAAGGGCTGAACCCACAACAAAATATGCAACCAAATGCATACAAAATGATGGAAGCTAACTTGTGCAAGTTAGAAACTTGGGATCAATACTTCAAAAGGCAAGTTAGAAACTTGGGATCATTAGAAACTTGGGATCAATACTTCAAAAGGTTTATCTTTTCATTTTAAACACAAAAAAAAAAAGTTGTGATATCTGGCAATACAAACAATATAAAGATAGTTAAGCCTTTAAGATGCAATATACAAAATAATAAAAGCACCTTATTGGGACCATAAAAAATTCTCATAGGAACAAGCACAATTTTTGGTGCAAAGCATGCATTTCAGTACATTTATATCAAATCAAAAGGGCTGAACCCACAACAAAATATGCAACCAAATGATGGAAGCTAAGATTTGTTATACTTGTGCAAGTTAGAAACTTGGGATCAATACTTCAAAAGGTTTATCTTTTCATTTTAAACACAAGGAAAAAAGTTGTGATATCTGGCAATGCAAACAATATAAAGATAGTTAAGCATTTAAGATGCAATACATAAAATAATAAAAGCACCTTATTGTGACCATAAAAAATTCCCATAGGAACAAGCACAAATTTTGGTGCAAAGCATGCATTTCAGTACATTTATATCAAATCAAAAGGGCTGAACCCACAACAAAATATGCAACCAAATGCATACCAAATGATGGAAATTTAATTGCCGTCTCAGCACAATGATTATATCAACATCAAAATCATTAAAGTCTGAGCATGTTTGGTGTTTGAATTGATAAAATTAACCCTAAACATGAACTAGATAGACCACACTCATTTCTTTCCCCCACTCAGGCATACCCATAGATGTGTAAATGTACGGGGATATCCTTGCTCCATCGGCCAATAGAAAAAGCACTAGATTGAACATGAGAAAAACTTAACTCACAAGCATCACAAATGTAGTCATTGATAACAACAAAACACATCAATTTTATTGCAAGCCGTTGGACGAGACTTCAAACCTCACAGAGTTCAATGAGCACTACAGGCTTCTGTATGAAAAGTCATTGACTTAGTCATGGTCTTGGAAAACCTTCGATATAAACAACTGATAACTTTCTAAGAAAAGGTAGAATAATAAAAAAGCATCCCAAATCATTCATAAAATACATCTTTAATTTTATATGCAATTTTTCATTCATCTTCTTCTCTCGTTCGAACTTATAACAACTAGTCTAAAAATAATTTTAAAAAATAGCACAACAAATTCAACCAAATCTATGATATTATCAAAACAAGCACATTAAATCTATAATTAATGGTGACTTTGTTGACTGGTAGAACACATACATCTACTCCCATATTTTCAGGTGCAGTCAAAGTAGGTATAACACAATGACACATTGTCCCAGATAAATCTTTCCATAAACAATTCATCATGTCTTTCAAGCTTGAAATATTCGATTGAATTCATCCTATAATGAGGCAAATTAGACAATGATGATCCCAAAACTAAATGAATAGCATGATGCATATCTCTCAGTTGTATTAATTCATTAGGAAGCTTATCAAAACAAATATCTTTAAACTTAACACATATTTTCCATCATCAAGTAAAATCACAATCTCCAGCATTGTATCATTAAACTAAACAACTACTGAGGTGTAAACCATAGTCACTCTATTTTTCAAATGCATGTTTATTTCAAAACATGCAACGATTTTTTTACTATATCGGGAGTACTAGATTCACTTGCAGACAAATTTTATTATTAGGCATACTGGCTTAAGAGCATATGTATTATACCTCCCACAAAGAGTAACAACTACATCAAAAAGCCAAAATCTACCCAAAATTACTTAAATAACATCCACGGATAATACACCACACCATACTCAATCAATATAGACAATTAATCGAGCAGAAGCTAAACATATCTGAAGTATGGAAATAGAAATTTTATCTACCCAAATTAGTTGTGAATGTGATCCAACTTTTTAATTATGTGGCCAAAGAAAATCAACAATCAATTATGAGTATAGAAAACTTCTATCATATTTGAAATATAATTAAAAGATAACAGTTCTCTTAACCTTAAGAATAGCTAATGAAAAGCATCCTCAAACTCACTAATTTCCTCATTAAATTCATGAAGACCATCAGAACTATTCATTTCAATATATTTCTTCTCAGCATTTATATGCAAGTTCATACTGAAACACTCACAAACATAATGACCAATTTAATATTGCTTATGCTTTTATGAAAATCTTAGCTACTGCTGCAAATGCAATTGATTTTCTCTCAACCCCTGTTAACCTTGGCATTAATATCCTTAAATGTTACGAATACAATATATTGAATTTGATTATTTTGATGAAATGATGTGCTCCCTGAAAATGTTGTAACCCTCTTAGACGAGAAATATTAACATTTGTTTAAAATTTAATGCAAGCTCAAAAGTATTTTGTCCAAGTTGAAGTGACGGAATGGGGTGATGTCATCTCTCCCTTGATATCAAATCTCAAACAAAACTAAAATCTAGATAGTGTGTTTCAAGGTCTTCAATGATCTCAGAACATTGACAATTCCTCTAACTTATTCATGCATTCAATAATAATTGTCCCTTCATTTAAGAAATTAACACATGAAAAAAATTATTATTGTATGGCAAATACAGATATATTTATTTTAGAAGTTCTTTAATTTCAGTCTGTGATAATATGTTACCTCTCAAACCTTCTCTTTTGTTCCTAAATGCTCACCCAATAAATGTTAGCTTGTACAATTTTATTTATTTATTTAATTGCTGCTTTGTAAATTTCATTTGTCCTTTGTCCCTCATCAAAAATGATTTGCAAATCAAATAAGTTATCGACATCTAATATCCAATCAAAGAAAAGATTTATGATCAATTTTACCATCATAGGTAAATATTTCAACTTTTAACTATTCTATTTATGCCATCATCTTCATCAAAAATTTTAATTCTATGGTTTTCAAAGGCTTCATTATTAAGCCCCCAAAATTCTTTATCTTGATTTGTTTTATATCTCCCACAAAAGTTGGCATTCAATTGAATTGGCAAATCATTATAATTAGAGTCCGCTTCAGGTTCAATGATATGAACTTGATTGACTTCCATTATCAATTATTGTTTAAACCAAATTAATGGTGTTGACCTCATTTTTGTGAGGTCTTTCCTTCTTCTTCCTAGAGCTTAGGATCTAGCTCTAGGAGTTTCCTATTAATTATCTTAGAAAACTAGCACTGAAATTTGTTCCCTTAGAAATTCCAAAAGACTTATTATTTTCCTGTGATGTCTAGCATTTACGGTCTCAAAACCATCTTCTTATGGACGAGTGGTTAAGGGTCATTGTGTGGAGATTCAAGGAAAAGTTCCCGATAGGACCTCAAGCCCTAGGAAAACCTCCTTACGACTTTCTCGTCACATACACACACCAAAT